ATACTACTAACACCCTCAAACAGAATCTAGCCTGGGAAATCAAGTCTCTACTTTGTCATGTTAAAGCTAAGCCATTGTCACGAACCTTCAAGAATACACCACCGTATTTCGTTTAAAGTGATAAGAGGAAGAATTACAGTTGAATTTTCTCACAATGATGTGAGTAGGCTTTACGCTTCCATCAAATTCCACATATGCGAAGAAAAGTTGGGTTTCGAGGAATCTCTTGTTTCATAATTGTTGAGCTTAATTCCATTTCAAGTAAAAGTGTTTGGTGAAGAGATTCGAAGGTCGATTGCATCAGAAGACGACAGCGGATTCCTCTTGACCAGCTGTAAATCGGCTTTACTGGAACATTCATTCTGACGCCGCTGTTTCCGAGGTAATCTCCTTCGATTCCGGTGAAAAGGTGCTTAGCTTTCGTCCGTCATATGATGAACATCATTAGAGCAAGGTATCATCATCACAACCAAATTCAATAGTCAGACATATCGCTTTTTATGGATTTGCCAGTGAGTCTTCTTGACTCGTTAGTTTGAATTTGGTTGCGGTGATGATACCTTGCTCTGCTGATATTCGTCATATCAAAGGAGAATACCTCGGAAACAGCATCACCATGAATGTTCCAGTAAGGCCAATCGACAGCTGGCCAAGAGAAATTTGACATAGCCTTGCTTCCAAAAAGGTATTCTTATCCAGAGGGCATCTTGAAATTCACATCTCCCCTATGACCCAAGAAAACTGGTAGCAATCCGGCGTAGTGGTTAAGATGTCGAGATTATAAACTTCACCGTCATGGCTCGAGTCCCGGTGGTGGTGTTGATAAGATCTAGGCAAGGTCGAAAGTGCAGTCCTTCCTGGATCAAAATATCTTTTGGGAAGCAATGAAAACATAAAGTCTGCTGATATAATTGCGAGAAAAGTCAACTACCTGTCCCTTTATCAACTTAAACGAGCTAGAGCGCAGATGCATATAAATGATCTACTGATAGTCTCTAAAACCGACTTATAAACGAAAAACAGCAAATATCTGTTTGCTTTTTCGATAATATTAACATAAATGTGATTTATGAGAAGCCTGTTTTGTCTTGAATGTCACATCTGCTCTATGACCCACTGTAACTTGTGGACATGGAGTGAAGTGGAGTGGAGGGGAGTGGTAACGTCACCATGACAGTCACAACCCGGTATCGAACTCCGCTGGGAATGCTGATGAGACTAGGCAAGGTCGAAAGAGTAATGAGAAAGGGTTTTGGGAGGCAAGGCTAGGCGAAATTTAATGGCATACTCATCTCAGTGTGGAAAAATTCAAATATTTGTCCGTAATTCACCCTAGCGACCTGAGATGATAAAAAATAATTGTCGATTTTCTCGAAAACCTACTCATTACGAATACAAATAATGCTACTGCCTGTTGGTGTACCTTTCATTTCGTTTGAAGAGGCGAGTGCACGGGAGTTGTAAGTTGGCCTCACCGGAAGCCGAATGAGGATTACCTTGTAACTATGACTGTAGATTTGTGCAAGTAGGTCCTCGGCACAGGGACAGGGGTCGCAGGGCGGTGCGCCAAGGACCTATTCGCATAAATCTACAACCACAGCTCCGAGGCAATTCCCATTCAGCTTCTGGCGAGACCAAGCGACGAATCCTTTCCACTCGCCTCCTCGTACAAAAGGGAAGGTACTCCAACATCGATCTATCGAGGGAGTCTTCGAAACCAAGTTTTTATACCTACCGAATGTTGCCATCTGTTTGTCCCTTATAAATACAAACATGCCAACACAAATGCTACACTGTCCGGGTTCCATTCCTCTCGAGGGTGCTAAGGCAACTCAGACGAGATCGAAGCAGCAGTTCACTCTGGAGAATATAATGACTTCTATATCTGGTTAAGCTTAGTCCATTTAACATAGGCCAAAGTAATGAGAGCACTAATGGCAACAATAGTAGTGCGACTTTGGTTAAGTGAATTTCTATAAATCTCTAAACTGACAAACCGGATAAGGTGAACAGCTAATCTCCAAGGCGTCTTTTTCAATAGCTGGAGCTTCTGCTGAGCAGCAGGCAAGAGTGCGACAATTCGGGCTTCCAAACATATCTCCATTGCCGAGCTGATTCAACAGTCTTGTAGGTGGCATATTTTGCTCTGATATTGTTTCGGTGCGGGCGTCTTGATGAGAAATGGGCGAAAATGCCTTGTCGTCGTCTGTACCACTGGCCATCGACATCAGAACGTTTGACAAACGAGCAGGCGAATAATTGGCGTAGGGATTCGACGTAGCCTGAAGCCCATTTGTCAGAGCAGATGAATTCGACGAGACGGTCGTGAGGGGTCCAACGGCGGAGAGTGAAGGAGCCGACCAAGCGATGACGGAGCCCGAACAGGGCAAACAGAAGTCGGCATGACAACGGGTAGGGCAGCCGGTGAGTCCTACCATGACGGGAGTGTGCCCCGACTTGGGCAAAGGTGGCCAGTCGAAGTCGAGGCCCTGAGTGGGCAAATTGTCCGTTTCGCAAAGAGCAACAGGGACTGACGCAGCCGCCGCTGCCGCCACGGCTGCTGCTGCTGCTGCTGTCACTGTTGCTGTTGCCTTTACGGCTGCCTC